TTTTCCACACAAGATCCAGCCGCCGCCGCCATTTCAGTCACTGGCGTGCCTGTTTATGCATGGAAAGGCGAAACTGAAGAAGAATATATTTGGTGCATTGAACAAACTCTTTGTAGTTTCAAGGATGGTAAACCTCTTAATATGATTCTTGATGATGGTGGTGATTTAACCAATTTGGTTCATACTAAATTTCCACAATACTTGAAAGGTAAGAAAATTTTTTTTTATAACGATAACTAATTATATCAATAAAAAGAATTATTAAGATGATGATGATTATTATTAATTAATTATTAGATATTAAGGGTGTTTCCGAAGAAACAACAACTGGTGTTCATAATCTTTACAAAATGCTTAAAGATGGACAATTGAAAGTTCCAGCAATTAATGTCAATGATTCAGTTACAAAATCCAAATTTGATAACCTTTATGGTTGTCGTGAATCACTCGTTGATGGTATTAAAAGAGCAACAGATGTACAAATTGCTGGTAAAGTAGCAGTTGTAGCAGGTTATGGTGATGTTGGCAAAGGTTGTTCAGCATCACTTAGAGGAATGGGAGCTCGTGTGATCATTACAGAAATTGATCCTATTAATGCTTTACAAGCAGTTATGGAAGGTAGATAAAATATTACATTGATATTATATTATACTTTTGTAATGATAATAAATCTCTCTAACAATGAATACATACTAATCCCATGCATAATTATTTTCTCTTATTTTATGTTTCTTTTCTTTTTTTTAGTGAGGCAATATTTAATAATTTTTATCAAGTAGTTTTGGAGACGTACCTGACTTGGTAGCAAAGAGGAAAATGGTTAGAAGGGCACCCACCAAGAAATGTGAGTGTAAAATCTAAAGAAGATATTAGTATTTCTTAATATAAGAAATTGGTTAATGATAGTAAAAGATAGTTTTGAGAGTAAAGCATAAATATACATTCATGGAATTGTTGTTATGATTTAGTATAAATAAATTTGAAGAAATTGTTATAACTAAAATATTGAGATTTACCATGAGACATTATAATATGATATACTGTGTGACTAAACTCTACCCTTAAATTTGTGATGATTATAATACATTCAATGTTGTCATGACCCTACTCAAAATTATAAATTTTGTTAGTATCAAAGAAACATAAAATTTTAGGGAATTAATTTACATAAAATAAACAATATTTGGATCTTTCCTCATAATGCCAAAACATACCAGAAATCCATCCTGGATCACAACTTCATCCTGTAGCAGCATGCATATCCAAGTAATTCCAGCTCAGGTAAAGTTAGGTAGGATTCACAAAACATCCTTGGAAATGAAGCAGCTTCAATAAACTCCAGGGCCATGCACCACCTCCCTGAGAATTTAGTTGCATCATTGTATCATCAGGCAAAACTTGGTAAGATTAGCCTTTTGTGACATGAAGAATGTGTGAGAATGACTGTAAATGTTGGATAGCATGTTGATGCTTGCCAATTTCCTATAATAAAATGTTACACGTCAACTCTGCAACAGCAGTTGTGTTCATCCTTTGACATCTTTTTATAATTATGTTATTATTTAGTATTAATGTTAATAATAATTATGAAAAGCAAAAATGATACCAATTGTAATCTGCTTCATGTTTTGATTGCAACAATACATTTGTATAAAATAATAAAAACATATATATCTTGCTATTGATAAACAACATGTCTTTCTTTTTGAACCGACCAAGATGATAATGTTTGGTATGATGGACTCTTGATTGTTTTTTCAAATCGCGTCAACAAAATAGGGACTTCCTCGTACAGCAGTAGTAGCTTTATTTGTTTTATGCTTATGAGCTCACAACTTTTACATATTACAGTATTAATAAAATGAAAGAATCTAGGTCACATGTCCAAAACACGATTGGATGTCACTTCAATAAATTCCGTTTTATTTACAACATAAATTTTAAAATTTTATTTTTTATTATTCTTTGACGGGTAAAAAATTATCAACAAATTTTTGTTCCGTTTCAAAAAAAGAATATGGTCAACAGATTGTGAGCTAAGTCTATTTTCGTAACAAAGTAATTTGTTGTCCTACATCAGAAAAGTCCTTCCGAAGAAACTGATGAAGAAGGAATTGCCAAATATTTTTTGGCTAAAATAGCAAGTATTGGGGATTTTTTTTTTTCATTATCCCACCATTTAAATGGTTCACTTTCTTCAACAGGAAGTACTTGGGGTATGTTTTTATATAATTTAAATTCATCTCTGTCTAATTCGGCTATTTCTCTAGTTGAGACTTCTAAATCAAAATTGTTTCAAATATTAATATACTACTACTACTATTATTATTATTATTTATTACTACTACTGTTGTTGTTGTTTTTGTTACTAAATAAATTAACAGTAGTAATGATAATGACAATAATAATAGCAATAGTAATAATAATAATAGTATAGTAATATTTGAAGTAATTTTTAATTTTAGAAGTCTGGTTTTAAAAATTAAATGCCATAACCTAACGAACAAATTCATACATAATATACAAATTA